TTAATTAGTGACTTCTTGCTATTAATTTTATTAATTCCGCACGAAAGATCGAATTTGTAACTTGAAATGTAAAATGGGTAAGGCATAAAATTTGAATTTAGGATTAGTGCGTGTTTCAAGCAGTATCCAGAGCGTTCCTAGAAATTTCAAGCTCATTTTGAATTTAATGTTCCAAATAATGGTCACAAATTTATCATTTTCAATAACGGGAGAAAATTTTTTCTTGCATTATTGAATCAAAAAGGTTATTTAAATAGCTTAAAGTTGTTCATTCAGTTCATTTTTCACTCTATTTATTAAACTTCATTGTATCACTTGTAGAAAATTTATTTAGATTTTCATTTTGTGAATGAACAAGTACTTCAAGCCACTTCTAGTGATTCAAATTCTAAATATGTCAATTTTCTTAGTATGGTGGTAGAAAAATATTATTCATTTCATTTCTACCAACGTATTTATGAAACATATTAGAAATAGTGGTAGATTCAAAATCAACAATTTGGAGAGAAAAATATTGAAAATAGATGAGTAAAAAGAACTCAGGGGGACTCGTGGTAGTGTTTCTTAGAAATGGTGAGTATTTATTTTGATATCAATTTATAGAAAAGTAGTAAAAGTATAGAAGTTCTTCCAAATATGAGGGCCTACATGACTGCCTCACTTAGTGTTTGAACTGGTAAGGAATTTTGATAAAGGATTAAATTAAAAGGGGCAACCTGCGTATTGATGAGGCGACTTCAGATCTACGCCAACCTAGTGAGGCATGGATATGCATTGATGTTAATTTGTTGTATAAGCTTCCAGATAGGATTTGGATTGAGCGTGAAAAGCGCGAAGGATATTGGCAGATAGTTGTGTACGAGAAGAAGCCAGATTACTATTTTTGATGCAGACACTTTCGTCATGCTGAGGACCATTTTTTAGTTAGATCACGCCCTGTACCACCACCAGCTATAATTGTTGACCCCATCCCTAAACATAATATAGAAGTGGCCCACGATAAGGGAAAAGGAAATTAGGTTGTCATAGAACCTCCTAAGAGATGGTTCCAGTTCAGAGAGACCAGAGGAGACAGCATGCTACTAGCACATCTAGAGTCCAGATTTCGTCTTCTGTATCTATTCTTATTACATTAGCTACGCTTCCTACTGCCTCTAGCTCATATGTTCAGACCAGCTAGCTACTCCTTCAATAGCTCTTCCAATTGTTATAACTTTGCAAATTATCATCACAGTAGCTCAACAGCCCCTCCAGAATCCCCTTCCGATTTTGCAGCACCTCCAGCTACTTGGAGGTAGTATATCATCCAGTTACTATTACATTTACTCTACCTCTAGTTCCTATTCCCACTGCTACTACTGAGGTATCCTCTGAGCCGACACATATTAGCTATCCACCATTGAAGACACATACAAATGGTACTCAATCAACATAAGGATAAGATACAGGATCAGTTCCTTATGCTGCTCTTGCATAGGGGTTGTTGGCTGAGATCAGCTCAGAGCGGCATGGTGTCAAGCAAATATTGATCGATCACTTTAAGAGGGACCATGGAATGAAAGTTGGATCTACCATGGGACTTTCCATTGAGGACTTGTGATGTGAACCTGGATAACTAGATCGCTATTAAACCCACAAAAAAATGGCATAAACCTCAAGAAAGCCAAAAATCAAAGTTTATGGAATTCGACCCACAATTATGAATTAAACAACCAACACAATCACTAGGATATGCTAGCCTTTTGATTACAAGATTTATGAAATCATACTTGGAATTTTAAAGATTGACTCGAAGAATAAAATGAACCAGAAACCAAAGCAATTACTAGAATACCTTGATCTCGTGATTGTATAATCCACGAATAGCATTTTGATTGGTGAATGCCATGAGAAATTATCCCAATAAGTTTGATAAATTGTTCTCAAAAAATAAAGATGGAAGTAACCTTGCCTCTGATTAATTCAAAATACCAAAAGTCCTACAATGTATAATAGGAAAAAGTATTTATACTACCCTAGGAATAATGAAAAAAAATGAATATTAAGAGTCCTAAACTTATAAAGTTACCAAAAATAACAATTTAAATCAAAACAGAATCCTCACGAAAAAAGGAAAAAGTCGCGTCCTGAATGAACCATGCGACCGCGTGGTTCTTTTAGCCGCGGTCGCATGGAAGAAACGTGGGCTGCCTCTTCAATCCCTATCCTAGTCTATGCGAGCGCATGGGCTTTAAAGCCTTGTGGCCGCATGGCTTTGTGTGTTGGCCCTAATTTTGGTTTCTTCCAACGATGCGTTCTTTAACTTATCGGCCCTTGACCCTAGCATTGAACTTGACACTTGATATGTTATCTTCAACCCCATGTGCCTCGCTTCTTGAGTATGCATTTATATGACCTTGGGTATCATCATTGTTCCATATTACTCCCAATTGAGCCCCTTGCACCTTTTCCATGAACTTTGCTCCCTTGATTGATCTTGATCGACCCAGGATCATATCAATTTGGTTTTCAAGCTATTTGGTGAGGAACTTTCTATGAGTAAAACTCCTACATATAAACCTTCACTTAGTCCTTCTATCACGACTCCTACACAAAATAAGGTAAAAGCACATATATAGAGAGACATGGATGGCATGGGCCTTGGAGACTACGTGCAAAATGCAAAGGACGATGTAGCCATAGTCATCAAATCACTCTCCCATGCTTCAGATGTTGTAGCACAGAGCACCATAAGATCAAACGCACATGCAACTAGCACTATGAGATTAGATGTACTCGCTTTTAGCCCGACTTTTAGTTCACCATCATGTGGACAACATTTTTCACCTAGGCAAGCCTCTTCATGTAGGCGAGACCCCTCTCCAATGAGCGAGCCAGACTACACAGACTACTATGATCCAAAAATGTTTGAAACCAGGCTCATGACCCAATTAATGTCTATGTACTACCACCCAAAGATCTACCATTGGGAATACCCTTGAGTAGTTTTAATTAGTTTTTGTTCATATCTTGTTTACTGTTGATTGCAATTCATTTTGAGATATTTGTTGCAATTTACATTTACTAGAGGTCAGGTCTGTGCCTCCTCTTCTATTTGTATTCTCGTTATTATTGTATGAAATAATCCATACTAGTGGTATTTGCTATAAAAAAAAAAGTCTTGACTGAAAATAAAAATAAAAATTCTTTAAATTTGAGTGATATTTCCTTTTATGATTGGTGCAATAAATGAGTGATACAATATTAAAATTAGAAATTTCATCTCAAAATGTCAATATTATTACGATCAGTACCCGAATCTTTTATATGTTGGTTAATATATATTTAACTGATGTAGAATTATGTTAACATCTATATTAATACACAAATACATACTCTGTGAGAGAGAGAAAGAGAGAGACCAAGTTCATTACTGTTTACTTTACCACCTGCATTCCGAGCTTCTTTGACCTACAGTAATTAATTACGTGTTGGCATGAGTTGTCAACATACAATATTGAAATATGGTAGGGGTGGGTTATTCCCCAGTTGTAATATAAAATTTCCTTTGTTTAGCCGGATTCTTAACCTAGAATAGCTCTCTTTATTTTACTCTCTACACTATATATGTATATGATTTTATTCATTCAAAAAATAAGAAAAATAATCCCTTTGTTATCATGGTATCAAAGCAAAAAAGCCTAGGATTTCTGCTACAGCAAACACGTTACCAAAACTGATCAGAAATTATGGTAGAACCTAAATACGTGGTGGCAGACCAGAGACATGATGAGAACTCTACTACAACCATCCTCGATGATTTAATGACTCGACTAATGTAAGCCCTAACCCAAAATCAAACCAAGAATTAAGTGCAGACCTATGAACCTCCTGCTGCGCCGATTGGGATCAGGCTAGATGGATTAAACTATGGTTTATGGTCCCAAGTTGTTGAGATATCTATCTCTGGCAAGGACAAATTGGGATATATTAATGGAGACATTCTAGAACCTGAATCATCAGACCCCATGTTTCGAAAATGGAGAATCGAAAATACAATTTTGAAGGGATGGATAATTAATTCCATAGACCTGACTCCAATCGGAAATTTTATTCGATTTTCTACTGCAAAAATGGTGTGGGATGCAATTGCTACTATTTATTTCGATGGAACAAACACTTCTCAAGTGTATGGTTTGAAGAAACATGTGACAAGAATGAGACAAGCAGGAGGATCCATTGAAGAATATTACAATGGTCTACAAGGCTTGTGGAGAGATATTGATTTTTGTAGGTCAAACCCAATGGAATGCCCTGCTGAAATAAAGATATACAACTTGGCTATATAGGAAGATAGAGTCTATCTCTTTCTTGATGGGTTGGATGATCACCTAGATAAAATTAGGGCTGATGTGTTCCAAATCCGACCATTCCCGACAGTTGAACAAGCTTATGCTCATGTTCAAAGAGAGGCTATACGACAATATGTTATGAATTCAAACATAGAACATACACATGCCACTGCTATGGCCTCAAAAGGAGTTAAGACATGACCAACACTCCAAATATCCAAGGGTGGACCTTCTTCAACAGGTGGTGGAAAGGCCAATACAACCTATAAGGGAAAAACACAATCCAACAGAGGTTGTATACACTGTGGGAACATAAAGCATGATCGTGAAACCTATTTCAGGTTAAACCCAAAGTGGTGGAATGAACTTAAAGCACGAAAACAGGGTGAATAGAAAGCTAACACCAATGGTGAACCGAGACGAGCTGCTTGGGCAAAGGCAGAACATTTACTTTCTTTTTACCCCACTGATGGAACCATCAGATGAGTCAAATTCTCTCAATAACCAAGATAAATGCGGTCTTGCATTATTCGGTTCCAGTCAAGATAATTATGGTGGTTGGATTGTTGACTCGGGGGCAACCGATCACATGACCTTAGATAGTAACGACTTTTCTAAGATTACCCAACCAAAACGAAGTAGCGTTGCTAATACTAATGGAGTCACATACCCTGTTATAGGAGCTGGAACCGTTGGTTTATCACCTTCTCTCTCTTTATCCAATACTTTACTTGTTCCATCTCTCTTAAATAAGTTAGTGTCCATAGCCCAAGTCACTAAAGAACTAAATTGTGTTGCTTTAATATATCCTAATTTTTATCTCTTTCAGGATATTCTCACATAGGAGATCATTGGGCATGGCACTAAGAGAGGGGTTGTACCACATAGATGATTTCAGCCTGGGGAAAACAAATTAAACCTTATATCCTATGCAATTAGGAGTTCAACTTATCTTAACGTGTGCATGCATGGATAATGATAACTTAATTGGAAACAAATCAATTCAAAGAAACGTATTTAATATGTATTTTTTATAATGTACCTTTTAAGATAATTAGCAAAAGATTATAATATTTTATTATACAATCAAGTTTAAAAATCTTATTTAAATTCTGTTTCCTCCATTAGATATATTATTTTAAGATTTAATCTTATCCCAAGTCTATTTTTTTCATTTGAAATCCATTGTAACAAAAGTTGGTTTCCACTTTTGGTGTGCGTGACTAGCAAAAGGCTTGTATCTTTTAAGATAATTAGGAAAAAAATATAATAGTTTATTTATATAATTATAATTACCATAACTTGGAAAATGATTTAATCATATCTCTGCCTTTCCATTTGAAATCCAGTACCATAACAGAATCAGTTTTCTCATCCGTGTTGAACACGTGTTGTATATAATTTAATTTTCTCCTACATTTGTATGTGTTGGGTATAATTATATATAATGTAATTTATCTCTGTTTTAATCCTATCACTTGTGTTATCCTTATTTTGACAATGATTACTCTTGATTTATAATTGTTCTTCATATAATTTGGATAGATTTCAATCTTATAGAGGATAATAACTAACACAATCCTGACCTATATCAGCTACTCTATGTTTGCCTGTAAATACTTTTGCCATACACATATTTTTACCATGAACCCCATTTCCTTAGTTTTAATTTCATCCTTTAAGTTCAGTAGAAATCCCCTATTATATTCATATTCTACCAAAATTATAATTCTCTTGCCTCTTTTCCATCTATTACATGCACATACAATTCGTAAGCAAGAGATAAAAGAAAACAATTGGAACGTGACTCTTGAATTTCTTTCAACATTTATTTGATAAGGTAGGATACTATGTGCAAATGATTTATCCTTGCAATATTATAATTTTTTTTACGTGATTTATTTCATGAAATGCTAATTGACCTGCGGGTCCTTATGAAATGAAATGTGAGATCTCCTTCGAGTCTTCTCAAATATGTTAGAGTATTCGATGGATCATCGACTGCTCTTTATGAAATGATGATATGAAATGTTGTAAATTCATGTTTTAAAAATTATCATATTGTTTTGGACGTATGTATCCTATTGAGTATAAAATACTCACTCCTTCAATTTTAAAATTTCAAGTTAGACAAATCGACGTGGATAGTGGCTGAGTGGTGCACGGGTTGCCAAGTAAAGAAACTTGACAAGAAAATATTTTAAAATAATTCTATTAGGATATTATGTGTTTCGGTTTAATCCCGTTTAATTTTCTATGTTTACGTGACATTATTTTGGTATTTGAGTATTTAATATATTAAGAGTTTTAAAGTTCCAATTTATATTTTTGCTTGATGTATGTTTATGAAATGATATCAGAAATACCTCAAATTCTAGTCGATAAAATTTGGGGCGTTACACGAAGTATCCAATTGCCAACTATATATAGACTCAAAAATTGGAGAAACCCTTCAAGGTATTTGTATACAGTTTGCCTACATGCCAGATTCCTAATGGAATACAACAGGCCTTAGAGGATCCAAAGTGGGCTCAAGCGATAAAAGAAGAAATGGAAGCACTACAAAAAAATAAAACATGGAATCTTCTTTCATTACCAGAAGGAAAGAAGATAATAGGGTGTAAGTGGGTTTCTCCATCAAACATAAGGCTAATGGGTCCATTGAAAGTTACAAGGCAAGACTTGTGGTGAAAGGATATACACAAACTTATGGCATAGACTATGAAAAGACATTTTCTCTGGTGGCAAATCTAAACCATGTGAGGGTCTTATTATCTCTTGCAGCAAATTTAGATTGACCACTACACCAGTTTGATGTAAAGAATGCCTTCCTTCATGGTGATCTTGAAGAAGAGGTTTATATGGATATTCCATCAGGATGCAGCATTTCTTCAAAATCAGGGGTTGTATGCAAATTGCAACGATCACTATATGGACTAAAACAATCAACCCGCGCATGGTTTGGTCGTTTTAGCTTGGCTACGAAGAAACGTGGTTTTCAACAAAGCAACTTAGATCATACTTTATTCCTGAAGCATAGACGGGGAAAGGTAACAACTCTAATAATACATGTGGATGACATGATTATTACAAGAAATGACATGGAAGAGATCGACAGACTTCAAAAAAATTTGGCAAATGAATTTGAAATGAAGAACTTTGGGGGCCTAAAATATTTCTTAGGGATTGAAGTAGCCAGATCAAGAAAGGGTATATTTTTTTTCCCAAAGAAAATATGTGTTAGATTTATTATCCTAAGTGGATCTTCTTGACTGTAAATTAGCCGATACCCCAATTGCTCAGAATCATAAGCTTGGAGAATACCCAGATCAAGTCCCAACTAATAAGGAGAGATATCAAAGATTGGTTGGAAAACTAATTTATTTATCCCACACTCGACCTGACATTACTTATGCAATGAGCATAGTGAGTGAATTTATGCACTCACCAAGTAAAGAGCATATGGGTGCAGTAATTCGAATTCTTCGATATTTGAAATCTGCACCAGGGAAAGGACTTATGTTCTTCTAGAACAATCACCTCAATGTCGATAGCTATACCGATGCAGACTGGGCTGGTAGCATATCTGACAGGAAGTCTACATCAAGCTACTTTACATTTGTAGGAGGCAATCTTGTCATGTGGAGAAGCAAGAAACAAAAGGTGGTGGCTTTATCAAATGCTAAAGCTGAGTTTAGAGGCATAGCCAAAGGACTTTGTGAACTCCTTTGGCTTAGGATGTTATTGACTGAGATTGGCTTTGCATCCAAATCTGCAATGAACTTATTTTGCGACAATAAGGGAGCCGTTGACATTTCTCATAATCCAGTTCAGGAAGATAGGATGAAACACGTTGAAGTGGATTGACATTTTATCAATCAGGATCTCAAATCAAAGATAGTTCTCTTCCCATTTCTAAAATCTGAAGATCAATTAGTAGATATACTGACGAAAGCTATCTCCAGCAAGGTCTTTCACGACTCACTTAACAAGTTGGGCATTTACAATATCTATGGACCAACTTGAGGAGAAGTGTTGGTGTGAGTTGTCAACATACCATATTGAAATATGGTAGGGATGGGTTATTCCCCAGCTGTAATATAAAATTCCCTTTGTTTAGCTGGATTTTCAGCCTAAAATTGCTCTCTTTATTTTGCACTCTACACTATATGTGTATGATTGTATTCATTCAGAAAATAAGAAAAATAATCCCTTTGTTATCATTACGAAACCCATAAAACAAATTATATATCCAGAAATTAAGAAGAAGAAAATTTTTTAATTACATGTTAACGGACATTCTGACATATGTACTCGCGCATTGTAACAATGGTTTTGGCGAATCTTTATTATTCCTAGCAACAATGGAATATTTAATAAGGTGTATTTAATGGTACTGAATAATATTAACAAAGTAATAACTATAGGCTACAGAATTGTTTATTTTTCTGTCCAATTTTGCTTGCTACAAAATAATAAAATATACTAATAACACACTTGATATGCCGATGTTATAGCGCCAAAGATAAACTCCTAGAAAAATTAGATTGTTTGGCCTCCATTTCGGTGGGATATGTTAGGATTGTGACTCAAATAGGAGTTTTGAAGTGGCATAATTCGACTTGAACTCTTAAAGCATTGGATTAGGGTTCAAGGAAACGAAGTTGAACAAAGAGAGGAGTTCTTGTTCTTCACGGTGAGATGTATGCGGTCACATTCACATGCCATCACACCACGTGACCAAATGGTAAATGGCAGAGAGTTTTCAGCCTCTATTATGCAACCGCATGAGATGTAATATGCGGTTGCATAGTACATTTCTAGGCGCCGTCCTTGTTTTTCAATTTTTAAGCATTTTAACCAAATTGTAATATATTTTCTTACCCTTTAGGACTCTATCAGGGTTTTGATTGTGTACTATAAATAAGAGGCTCCTTTGCTAGTTTATGTAGAAGCAATTTTGCTAAATTGTACTTGTTTTCTCCATATTGTTGAAT